GGTCCCGCGGGGAGTGAGCTCCAGTTTTGTCCCCCAGCGAGTGACCGGCAGCGGTGTCTGGGGAGGAAAATGTCTGAATGGGGCACAGCGCGTGACCCTCGCCCGGCCGGTGCCCATCGCCGCAGTGCAGGGCTTCTCCGCAGGGCCGCTGTGACCTGTGGGTCTTGCAGGTGTGTCCACCTCCTCGCTTCAATTCGTGAAGCTTTTAACCTCTGGAAAACCTGTGTCGATCAGCTCCAAGACGTTAATGTATTGATTCATGTGAAAAAAATTATTCTCTTTTGCTGCTGCTGCTAATAGTGGCCTCGAGTCGTGCCAGGGGAGGTTTGGGTTGGATATCAGGAAAGATTTCCTTACTGAAAGAGCGGTCAGGCATTGTGCCAGGCTGCCCAGGGCAGTGGGGGAGTCCCCATCCCTGGAGGGGTTCAAAAAGGTGTGGATGTGGCTCTTCAGGGCATGGTGTAGCAGGTGTGGGGGGGTTGGGGTGACGGCTGGACTTCATGATCTATGAGGTCTTTTCCAACCGTAATGATTCTGTGATTCTACGATACAGCAGGAGACCGTAGTCTTGGCTCTGAGGATGAGCAGAGCATCATTTCTGCTGCCTCCCTGCAGCACTGCTGGTTTTAAGGCTCAAGTTTCCATGGGGAAATTCTGCTGGTTCCTGGCTCCTGTTGCCACCCTGCCGGCCCGTCCCGCGTTTCCGAGGCACACATCCGCAAAGCTCGCAGGTGCAGCCGCACCAGGGATTGGCACAGCAGCAGAAAGATCTTCTCTGGATTGCATTTAATCCCCTGCTGAAGAGCTGCCCAGCCTCCTCTTTCTCTCCTGGACTGCACGAGCAGTGAGCAGAGGTCTTCAGAGCCTGGGAAGGAACCGAAGAGCTCTTTTCTGAACAGGGGTAGGAATGGTCCTGTGCTCCTCATCCATATTTTGCTTTTGGGGGCTTTGGAGCAAGTCCCTTTCTGGTGGGCAGTTGTTTGGGGTGGGGGGACCCTTCTGGGACTCGAGCGGAGGTGTGAGTGCCTTCCGTGCCTCGGTCTTGCACAGACGTGGCCACCCTGTCCCCAGGGTGCCCGTACGTGGCACGGAGCAGGGGCTGTGCACCCTACCCACAGCGAGAGAGGCTGCAGTGATCCCTGCACGGGGTCGCGATGCCCCCCTCTGCCCGGCCCCACGGGGCAGGGGGCCGAGCCGAGGTCCGAGGTGGCCTGTGACCAGCCCCTGCCAACCGCTGGTGCCC